GCAGATAAGGACATGGCAAACATGCCTTTGTAAAGCTTGAAGTCTGGCGATTCTAAAAATATATACTTTCCTGGGTCTATTTGTAGTCATTTGGTCACAATTAGAAGATGAAAACAAGCATGCAAATAATAGTCCCGCTACCTTAAAACCCTGAAAAACAACATCGGCCAATGATGTCGTTGGTACAGAATTGTGTCATAACTTGTGTCCGAGTGAATACGTCGGCGAGGGTGCAATAACTATCGCCAACCCTGTCAGGCTACCTGGATGTGGTCGAGCATTGTCGTCTGCGCAAATTTAGTGCGTCCTCGCCGACAGACTATGGCCAGCCTTTAAAATCCTGAAAAACAACGTCGGCCAATAATGTCGTTGGTACAGAATTGTGTCGTAATTTGTGTCCGAGTGAATACGTCGGCGAGAGCACAATATCTATCGCCGACCCAACATCGACCGTGTCAGGCTACCTGGATGTGGTCGAGCATTGTCGTCTGCGCAAATTTAGTGCGTCCTCGCTGACGTACTATGGCCAGCCCTTAAAACCCTGAAAAACAACGTCGGCCAATGTTGTCGTTGGTACAGAATTGTGTCGTAATTTGTGTCCGAGTGAATACGTCGGCAGGGCGCAATAACTATCGCCGACCCAACACCAACCACGTCAGGCTACCTGGATGCGGTCGAGCATTGTCGTCTGCGCAAATTTAGTGCGTCCTCGCCGACGGACTATGGCCAGCCCTTAAAACCCTGAAAAACAACATCGGCCAATGATGTCGTTGGTACAGAATTGTGTCGTAATTTGTGTCCGAGTGAATACGTCGGCGAGGGCGCAATAACTATCGTCGACCCTGTCAGGCTACCTAGATGCGGTCGAGCATTGTTGTCTGCGCAAATTTAGTGCGTCCTCGCCGACAGACTATGGCCAGCCCTTAAAACCCTGAAAAACAAGGTCGGCCAATAATGTCGTTGGTACAGAATTGTGTCGTAATTTGTGTCCGAGTGAATACGTCGGCGAGGGCGCAATATCTATCGCCGACCCAACATCGACCGTGTCAGGCTACCTGGATGCGGTCAAGCATTGTCGTCTGCGCAAATTTAGTGCGTCCTCGCCGACGGACTATGGCCAGCCCTGAAAACCCTGAAAAACAACATCAGCCAATGATGTCGTTGGTACAGAATTGTGTCGTAATTTGTGTCTGAGTGAATACGTCGGCGAGGGCGCAATAACTATCGCCGACCCTGTCAGGCTACCTGGATGCGGTCGAGCATTGTCGTCTGCTCAAATTTAGTGCGTCCTCGCCGACAGACTATGGCCAGCCCTTAAAACCCTGAAAAACAACGTCGGCCAATAATGTCGTTGGTACAGAATTGTGTCGTAATTTGTGTCCGAGTAAATACGTCGGCGAGGGCGCAATATCTATCGCCGACCCAACATCGACCGTGTCAGGCTACCTGGATGCGGTCGAGCATTGTCGTCTGCGCAAATTTAGTGCGTCCTCGCCGACAGACTATGGCCAGCCCTGAAAACTATGGCGATTTTGATTGCAAAACAAATGAGACAAATAATGTACCTATTTCTGCCCGGCTTTCTGAACTAAACCAATCTTCTGACCTAGCTGCTTTTTTCAATAGTGAGGTCTTCTTGGAGTCATCAATGGTGGTGATCGAGGGATCTTCGACACCGATTCTGACACTGGTGCCTGAAGGCGCGGTCATTAATCAACAATAACAAGTCAGTCTCCAGTTCTAATGATGCTATTAATGATTAACCACGCTTTCAAGTCATTAACGTCTGTCGTGTGTCATCATTCGATTCGTGTGGTTGGAAACCATGTAGATCACGGTTCAGACCGATTCTCAATAAAGTTGAGGTCAAAGGTCGTGTTATTGTTTCGCGCATGTGCATAGAAACTACTAGTTATTAAAATCACGGTTGTGCTGATGTTCCTTTTTTAGATCTGAAACTACAAACTTGTAAACCCTGTACCCCAAACGTTTGCAAAGTTGTCTTATATATTCGTTATAATGAAGCTGAACCCATCGCAAAATTGACAAAAACATGTTTCACTATTAGCAATGACATGTTCCCGGGAAGTATTTAATAGTTCCGAATCAAATTCCCGGGGTCAGTTCTGTGACCATTTCAAAATCCCATACCACTAAAACCTGTACTCTTACAAATCTAAGGCTTGCATTTTTGAAATAAAATACAAGCATACTATGAAGAAAAAAACACTAAAACTATATTTGAGAAAAAAATCACAAAATTGTACGAGGCTTTGAAGGGGATTTTATATAAATTCAAAACTTTGTAAAACTGGTATGTAAACAGATTTAAACATGATCTATCATAATTATATTTTCAAAGTAGTCCATATATACAAGAAAAAATAAACACAGTGTTATAGCACCCCCCCCCGCCCAAAAAATATATATAACCATCCTAGTGTTTATTAGAGCCATAAAGTTTTTTGACATAATATAAGTTTCAATTGTCCATATTATACAATCTACAACTGTAGGAAAGTATGGGCGTTCAATTCCATTTTTTTTGTAAACTATTTTGCTTTGCTGATGAGCTACCTATTTTGAAATCGGTTATACATCTTTGTTCTCAAATGAGGTATGATATACGTGTGTGTCAGAAAAGATAGATTACTGCAGAGTATTATGAAGATTGTGTGTACGAACGGCGTAATTTATTGTAAAAACAAAAATAGTTTTTGAGAAGTTTTAGGCAATCTATTATTCATGATTTAACCTGATAAAAAAATGACAGTGACTGAGAAAAGTGAACTCCACTACTGTTGCAGTAGAAAAAAATAGAGATCAAAAAATATGAAAACTACAAAAATACAGTCAGGTAACATGCTGCTTTTCGGAGCTAGATATCCAGCTATTGGGTGGCGATACAAAAGTACCGATAAGTAAGCGCAAAGGTACCCCACCGGAGTTGTTGGGGGTTTGAATGCTACTCAAATGTCAAAATAATGTTTTCTTTATCGTTATTATTGGAATATCGTAAGATGAAATTCCCCGGAAAGAAATAAAATGGTTTCGTAACCCATTTTTACAAGTTTATAAGATTAATTTCAATCATGTCAAATTCCTCACCGGCATGGTATACAAACATGTGAAATGCCTTTACAGTGAATCCCGGAAATTGAATACTCAAGATACTCTAAACCAAGTGGCGGATCCAGAGGGGGGGGGGGTTCTTGGGGTCCGGAAAAATGTATTCACTTTGTTTTTGTATAATATAAATATATCATTAACTTTGTCTGGCGATTTTAAAGTTTGGACCCCCCCCCATAAAAAAAATCCTGCATCCGCCCCTGAAACCGATTCCCCGTCGATGTGACTATGGAAATTCCCGGTTTCGGTCGGTTACTTTTGGCATTCAAGTTCAATTTCACCAGCAGCGACAAATTTTCATACCTTTACCCAAAAATTGTTCGTGGAAATGAACTCGTTAACATAAACGACGCCATTCCACAAGATTTATTTGACAGAGAAATTGTGGTTAATCGTTTTATTGTTTATGGCATGAGTTTGTGTTGCTAAAATTTAATTGGTTATGTTGTCACTTTTTCTGATGATTGACACTGTCAGGAATGCCTTGGATGAAGAATTCCACGACCGAACTGTAAAAACGTGAATACAGAAATTGACGTCAGGCATATACAAATCAAATATTAAAAACAAAACAAAAAAACAATAAAAATCAATTTATCCAGCCCCCGATTTCAAATGGGAAATCCCCAAGGTGTTATTGATCAGAACTTTTTCTGGTGTTGTACAGTTTGGGAAACTGCCCTCTGTAGATAACCCTAAATAATCGTTCGTTTATGGTACGAGTCAAAACAAGAAAGATTCACTGTTGCTACAGTATATGAATCATGTAACTACGTGACTAATACACTGTAATGAGCTTGGCGTCACTGTAGAATTCCAAAAAAAAAGAAATCAATGAAAGTACATTCATTTCAAACCAGAAACCGAGGTCGTATGACGTCACATGACCTTAACGTCACATGATCGCGCTTTGGCTAAACGGCGGAAAAGAATAAAAAAGGGTCACAGTGAAAAAACACACGTGGTATCGTCAGCTTCCTCCTTGGTTTATGCCACATTTTCTCTGATTTCGCATTTTTTTGACAGAAACTATCTGGCGAGATGGGTGCCTATTTATCCCAGCCGATCACAGAGAAAATATCCGAAGACAAAACAACCGGTAAATTAAGTTACGGGGCTTCAAGTATGCAAGGATGGCGGATGTCAATGGAGGTGAGTGTATTTACCGGTATTTTCCCGATGCGATTGTGCCGAATATTTCACATTTGTTTGTTTATTTTACAATCGGCGTATATGTGTATACTCCAGAACCGATATATATTCCAACTGTCGATAATAACAACAACTTTTATAAGTAAAACTGATGTTTTTGCTCAGCTACGCATGTAGTACAATTTGAATCGAAAGAACGCACGTACTTCTATAGTTTGCGAATAGAAATTCGCCGAAGCTTCGTTGTTTAATAAGTATAAATAAATACAAATCCGCGCTTCCCGAAGTGTTTTATGAATGGACTTTTTAGACCGAGAATTTTAAATTACAAACTTAAGTTGAATAAGAGAAGCACGATCAAGCGCAGTGCAATAAACTCTGCCGGACGACATCTCCGGTGTAAACAGGCCGTATCGCTGGGCAACGATAATACTTCGACTTTTAAACTGCAATATTTTTCAGTGATATCTTTGGCCATAATAACAAATTTTATACCTAACACACTATTTTTTGGCTTTAGGCTTTTGACATGTAAACTCAAATTTTCCCAAAGGAAACTTTTATTTAACTATATGGACAGGGATATACAAAAGATATCAAATAAACAAATAGTAACAAGAGTGGAAGTCAATATTCAGTTTTAATAGTTGTGTTCAGTCAAAAACATTAACTGTGCCAAGAAAACATGCGCGAACACTTAGCACAGGCTAAGAAAGCAAGGGCTAAGAAGCACCGAGTATGTATTCTATGTCCAGTTTGAAGATTTACTATCATAATCATTTCATTTTGGTATGCCATTTCTGACATGACAATCAAGGCAAGCACGGATAGACATTGTTGAAAACAATTAACAAACGATGAGACTCTGTACTACTCTGTTCTGCAATCTGCTCTTTCAGAATTTGCTTTTGTATTGTTTCATAACCGTAGAACTAACATGTATACCTTCCCGGTTACTGTACTGAGTAATCATAGTATTGTAAAGGGGTTAATTATTCACTGGGTTCTAATTTTGCTTATTTCGCTGCCTGGAAAATGCGCTAAATTAAAACCCAGTGAATATGTAAAATTTAGCATAGAACACATTATCCAAATGATGAAACCGTGAACTTAAAATCCACTGAATATCCCTGAAATGGTAAATCAGGGAAATTTAAACCCAGTGAAAATTAGTCATTTTACAGTATATTCCTAGCAAATTTGGGCGTTCCTTAGCTCGTGCTACCCACTGTTTCCTCCTGTGCGTGAACACAATTGGGTCTAGCCAATATACAAACATTTTTTCTTAGGTGAACATCAGTGGACCACTCTGATAGCCAGAAAATGAAAAGGCCTGTCTGAAATCTATAATTAAATGCAAGATGGTAGTGTGGCCACAGATTTGTAATCTATTTTTGTGTAAAAAATGGAAATTTTCATTCAAAAGTTGACAGGTTTGAAGAAATTTAGCCTGTCAAATCAAATTTTGTTCCTGTCTAAAATGTGGAGTGCCTGTCCCTGTTAACTTAAGATTTCATGTTTCAAACTGATGTGCACGATGACGAGAAATCTTTTTTTTTTAAAGGGGGAGGGTCGTCACCTGCGCACACGCGGGAATCTAGTTCCAAGCGACGATAACAACACGCGCTAAAAATGATTGTTTGTAAACAATGACAGGCTATGGCCATCTGACGCATACTGACGCAGGTGACACCTCACTGGCTTTGACTGCTACATGTATTTTAATATTGCTTTCCAATTGAGATTCATGTACAGGTTCAACCACATCTAATGACAAACTTCAGTGCTACAGACAGTATCTATTGTGGCCAAGCTTTCATCCTCATAAAATCTATTGAGAAATCATCTCTACAACTAAAATAACACTACCAAAAGAGAATACTCAATAATATAAAAACCTAGTACAGAATATAGATTGATGAATATTACTTGCTATATTATATATAATTATTAATAATTGATATATATATCGGTGAATTTAATTCACGAAAAATGCAATTAAACATAAATTCTCTAATACTTATTGCTCACCATTGAACCAAACACATAAAAGAAATGTATACATAAATTTAATGAAACATGGGGGGCTTGACCATTTGTGAAAAAAAGTACAAAAAAATTTAAAAAAATATCATTTATAAAAAAAAAAACCATATGGGGAAAATAAAATTTCCCATGGATTCTCTTTTGCCAAATGATGTAAATAAATTAGAAGTCCGGGCTAGAAATAAATCAATAAATAAATACGACCTGGTACAACATTTATGCAGGCTCTATAGCCTGTTGCACTGTGATGTCAGTTTTAACATGTACCCCGGTATGTTAAAATTACTGTCAACCAGCATGTGAATGGCTGGTAACAAATATCGCTTACAGATCAAAGTTGTAACAAAGTTGCCAACAAGTTGTTTTATTAACAAGTACACGTACATGTACATTTAATATCAACAATATATATATTATATTCTAATGTGAATGGTCGGTACAACCAGTCACTGCGCATGTGCATGTGTGCAAAGAGTAAACAAGTGGTCAATAATTAATCAAATGATATACTCTAATATTTATGGCATTTGTCATAAAAATTATTGCATAAATTATTGCATAGACATTACCTTGCTATCATTGCTTGCTGCGCTCACTGGTATTATTTGGAATATTAAACTGAATGAAATTATTGCTTTGATGTTGAGCAAGTGCATAGTCATTTGTAATACCATGTTCCCTTTATGCAATGAGCTTGGTCCAGGTGACCTGCATTTTTACCTTGCCCGTACCATCAAAGATGGAAGGGAAAGGTATATTAAGGGAAAAATTTTGTTCGGCGTTGTCGTTGTCGTCGTCGTCGTTGTCGTCGTCGTTGTTAATAATTTTTATTGTGTGCATAATAACTTTACTAATTCTATTCCAAACTTTATCAAACTTGGTCACCTTATTCATCAGTATAAAGTCTTCCCTGAGTTTGAACAACAGATGTCCTGTATGAAAATATCATGCAAAAATTGAGAAAATCTGATAACATATTTTGACTGTTTCTACTTGACTGATCACTGGTGATACACATCAAAGGTCACTGATCTCAGTGGAAATATGCATTGTTGTATGTGTTCAATGAAGCAAATGAATTACAGTCAAACCTGTCTATAAAGGACAGTCAGTGGACTGAGCCAAACTGTCCTTTAT